GAGCTCGTCGGTTCATGACATTGACTCTTCCCGCTCTTCCCACCCACAGGGAATCTCAAATTTGCTTCCAAAATAATCCAAACATTTTATGAATGTTGGATTAACTGAAACTGGATTGAATCACCAAAAACTAACGGAACAAAATTGAAAACATACTATAGTAGAAGCTTCCCATGTCACTACTCATTCTCTTTGCGCACCTTTCCAGAAAGAACGTGTCCCCTCCAATGTATTTCCATGCTGCCAAGGTGCTCCAAAGTTTGTGGTAAAACCCTCTGCTTCAATCGCCTCCGATGCTGGCTCTCCGAGCTCGCGCGAGGGTGGAGGAATCTTGTTTTCAAGCCTGAAACACCTGTAGACCTATAGCTGAAACCTGAAACCCATTGCCCTCCATTGCCCTTAACGTGGTGGAGAACCAGAACTGCGACTGGGGTCATCCTCCACGAAGCGGTCCACAGAGAAAAGACAGAAATACCGTGAAGCCTCTAAACTATACAAAACTTGATTTTCGGACGATTGCTTATCAGAAAAGAACTGCTCGAAAAAAGAACTGCTCGAAAAAAACTTTGCATTTGGAGGGGTTGAGGCGCTCTAGCGCAATGGATTGACCATTCTGGTTGGATTCACCTCTCTGTCTTGCTCATGGCAGGTCCTTGAGCTTGAAACACCCCTGCAGGTCCTGGGGTCTTTTCTTTGCCAAAAGTGAATCAATCGCTGGCTATTCCCCAAACCCAAACCCAACATAGCACGGCCGGAGGATCCGGAAAAGGAACGGTCAGAATCTCACATACCGTTGGAGACTGATCGTTGTGTGTGACTGATCGTTGGAGATAGATTCGATAGGCAAATTTATCGGATGATAGGGGATAGGATTTGCTAGGCTAGGAAAGAATGGGACATATAAAGCCAAGTTGATAGACAAATACACAAATAGACGGGATGTTTAGATTGATAAACGGTTCTGTAGATAGACCGATGGATTTAAATAAACACGTAAATGCATCGATCAGGACAGTGACAGGTGGATATACCACACATAGATCACATGGAAAGATCAGAACAAAACATTCCAAGCCTCGGCAATGGGAGGTAGAACATCAGCGCTAGCGGCAGGCAGGAATTGAGCCTAGAGTCCAACATATGTCTCTGCTTCTACCTGAACATTCAGTCAATATCTATCCCTACGAGTCTCTCTGAAGAAGGCTCGACCCACAAGATACATCCAAGAAAACGAGAAGAACTTTAAGTACACCTCAGCAAGTCCTCATCTTCCTAAGCCCAACACATGCTGGCCTGTCTAGTCCCCCAGAGACGCAGCGGCCGGATATTGGGACACGCCAAAATACCTTGAAACACTGCCAATACTAGGAACAAGAAGCTACTAGGAGCAAAGGTACTAGGAGCCAGGACACTACTAGGGGCTCCTGACCTTACTACTAGGAACAAGAAGCTACTAGGAGCAAAGGTACTAGGAGCAAGGACGCTACTAGGGGCTCCTGACCTTACTACTAGGAACAAGAAGCTACTTGAAACACTACACTCCACAAAGTAAAACTACACCAGCCCGCCAAGGTGCCCATCTTTGGGGTTCCTCTGAGGCTGGCCTCAACATCGGTGCGCCGTCTTTTCGTTGTGGAGACGTTGATGAGCTTTAATGACATTCATGCAGTTTTCGAGTCACAGCTGGATAAATATATGAATCAATTAGGCCATTATATAAATGCTAAGATTGCATTTCAGAGACTCTTGCAAGCCTCACTACGGAATACCACGTATACCTCTCAGCACCTCTCATCTCAGCACCTGCCTGGCTGCCACTAAAGGCGGCAATGACTCAGCCTCGAAGTGACACTCGCTCAGTGAAGACTCTCTAGGAGGCCCCTTAGTTCGTCTGAGTTTTGGTCTCCCAAAAGAGCCAGACCCCCAAAAGTTCGAAACACGTTGCTTTTCAGGAAAAGCGACTGCTTGAGGTCCCCTACCATTTGCCCAACACAATACGTTGAGAATCAAAACCTGCTTCGGTGCCTGAGGAGCCATGATCGGCTCCGACGCCATTTCCTGTTCAGCGAGGCCAGCGAGGCGTTTTGCTTCCGCCTGGCTAAAGTCGCTTGGCGTCGCATCGCTTCGATCGGATGCGGAGGATTGGAGTGGATCGGATCTGGTGTAACGAGCTTCTCCAGTGTGCTGGCAATCCCGGGTGACTTTCCTCTGAAGACATGAAGCCTTGAAGCCTTGAAACCCTGCTGACGACCTGAAGCCTAGCGACGACCTGAAGCCTTGAAGACCTGAAGCCTGGTGACGACGTGAAGCCTTGAAGACCTGAAGCCTGGTGACGACCTGAAGCCTGGTGACGACCTGAAGCCTTGAAGACCTGAAGCCTAGTGACGACCTGAAGCCTTGAAGACCTGAAGCCTGGTGACGACCTGAAGCCTTGAAGACCTGAAGCCTAGTGACGACCTGAAGCCTTGAAGACCTGAAGCCTAGCGACGACCCGAAGCCTTGAAGACCTGAAGCCTCTTCGTGTCTTCGCTTGTCTTCGTGTCTTTGCGTATCTTCGTGTCTTCGTGTCTTCGCGTGTCTTCGTGTCTTCGCGTGTCTTCGGGTCTTCGTGTCTTCGTGTCTTCATATCTTCGCGTCTTCGTGTCTTCGTGTCTTCATATCTTCGCATCTTCGTGTGTCTTCATGTCTTCGCGTGTCTTCGTGTCTTCGGGTCTTCGTGTCTTCGTGTCTTCGCGTGTCTTCGTGTCTTCGCGCAAAAGTCACAACCCGCTTCTGCCAACGCAATGAGCTTCTCAACCTCAACTGAGGAAAACTGGAGGAACTGGTATGATTGGTTGGTTTGTTAGAATGGGATTGCGCCAGATCCTGCGGGGAGCTCAGATCGGCAACATGTGGGTCGAAAGCCAAGCCACATGCTCAGATCGGCGAACCTTCGTCCAGCTGGCAGATTTGGGTAGAAAAGGAGGAGACAAAAAGAACCAACATGGCCTCGCCTCTTTCCCCTTGGTATAGTTCAACTCCTGCACGATCAGGCGCAATTCTTTTCCGGCCGCTCCTGGCCGTCTCGGCCGCGCCGTGGTCCGTGGGTCCCAGCAGTGTGAACTCATCGGACCCCTTGGACGCGCCCAGATGCCGTCGGAAATGAAGCTGTCCAGCGACAAGAAGCCAAGTGGGAAGAAATCAAAACTACTGTATTCCTGAGCTGAAGAACTCCACTTGACTAGTGCAGGCCCTTCCTGAAAAGAGACTTGGAGTCGTTGTGGCCTGGGTATGTAATGGTATGCGTGACCTGGCCACCCAAAGAAATGCACACAGTTCGTGTCTTCTAAGCTGTTCCCGTCACGTCTGCAGTGACAAAACCCCGTGAGCGACACCTCACTCGCGAACCCGCCCCGGCCTCGAGCGATCACATGCTGGACAGACCTCATGGAGGCCGGGCAAACGATCCCGGGCACCGACCACGGAAAAAACCCACGCAGGACATACCTCATCTGCCTCATCTACGGTCACCTAGCCAGGAGTTGCTGAGTCCTTCAGGATCATCCGACGGGTCCCACAGAGGCATAGGGTTCCGACAGAGGCTTAGGGTTCCGACGGCTCCCAGAGGTAGACGGTGGGTGGGTCAGGCAACTCGATCCCTCCGATCTTTTGGGAAACTCTCGAATGCAAACCTCGGTCTCGCTCCACCTGGGGGAGGACTGTTTCGGAAGGGGGAGTCGCCCCGAAGGGATTCGTTCCAGAAAGAGATCCGCCAGCAAAAGCTCCGTAATACAACGATCTACCATGATCTACGACGGTATTGCACAAGGTAAAGCTAGGGTTGATAATTTCAGTGTCGTTCACTTGCGAGACCCTTCTTGACCTCTTTTAGGCTTCAGTTTGAAAGGAGTATCAGTCGCGTTGTGATGGTAGAATGACAACTGCAAGTTCACAGCTGGTAGACCTCGGCACGTCTTTGCTGATGTCGACGAGTCACCCATCCAGCCACAGTGGATGAAATTCGGAAAGAAAAAAAAACATGCAGGGTACAACTGACTGGTCGAAACACGTTTTGAAGAAACATGCCTCTGTAAGAATTGGTGTAGCAGTGTAGCCCCCAGCAGGCTAGAAGCCTTAGAGGAGAGAAGACGACGATTCATATCGCTGACATGGTTAGGGCCGCCACTGATTGGCGCCACACAATCGACCTGCAAAGCACAGGAAGTGATCAAAGCTGCGTGGCACAATCATGATGGTCGAAGGTCGTTTCTTCTCAAAGAAACAGATCTAAAATAGACTGAAAGAAGACCTGGACAGTCAGTGAGGCACAGAAGTTCTTCAGTCCTTGAGACGAGTCCTCCGCATCAGAAAAAGGAACTGCTTCAACAAAACAGGAACCGGTTCATTCAAGTCTTTAACCTCATGTGTTGAGACGTAACGAAGAACAAAGAGCACCCCCTTTGCAAAGCTTGACTCAAGGGGGTTCTTCAACCACAAAAAATGGTTCTCGGTGGAGTCCACCCCAACATATCACAACAAAGGAAAATTATAGTAAAATATACCGCCTCTTAAATGCACCCTTTTTGGTGTGTGTGTGTGTGGGCTGGCCTTTGAAAGTGAAGGTTCTGTTCTTGTTCTACACCACAACCAAGCCAAGCACTGCACCAATCCTAAAAAAATCATGAAGAAGTTCTGGCTCTTTTGAACCTGTCGCAGATCAAACCTGGCCATCAAAAGAGTAGCTCTTCACCAGGTTCATCCATCTGCAAACTGCACCACAATGGCATTATGAATCGTCACCAGTCACCGTTTTCGCCCCTCTAGATCCTCTGGCTCACCACTAAGTCTGGCTCGGATTTCGTCCGATCCAAACAGCGACCGCCTGGGATCCCCCGGCAAACGAACTTCCTCTTCTTGTTCTCAGAGACCGCCTGATGCGTCTGACCTGGTGGCGAGTCGTGGCTCTACGGTGACTTCATGAGACACGACTTTGGTGAATTGCTTGTGACTCCCACGAATTGCTGGAACTTCATGAAGAATCCCACGAATTGCCCAACGAACCCGTTCTTGGTCCGGACCTCCGGACCGCTTCAGATCTCGGAACCTGGTTTCCCTTAAGAGCGAAGCAATAGACGAAGCAATAGACCCGGCCATCTTCTTTGGAGCGGACGATGTTCAACATGGATTGAACAGGCCGCAGGGCAACCCGGTTTCTGGTTGAAAAGGCTGCCCAAATCGTCAATGCCGCAGGTTTCATGGACACCCTGACAAAAGCGCTTGCATGGACACCTGGCTTTGTATGCTTCAAAATGATGAAGAAGTTCCTTGGTTCACCTTGATTCACCTTCTTTGTATGCTTCAAATCAAGCTCCTTGGTTCACCTTGATTCGTTTGGAAGATGATCGAACCGTCTTCACCCCTCATCACGTACGTGACAACGCCGCGTCACGTGGGGCGAGCGGCGAGTGTGAAGGGACGCGAGTCGTGACGCATCCTCTTCCACGTCGAAGGCTCGCCCCGGGTTCTATTGTGTACTTGTCTTCAATAATTACAGTTGTTTTTGATAACCTAGTGTACTTGATTTAGTTTATTACAGTAGGTTATTACAGTTATTACAGTACACTAAGTGTACTTGTCTTCAATACTTAATCAAGAAACTAAAATGAAAATACCTTCAGACTGTAATTCAAGACCAAGTACACCCTGAATTAAAGCGGGCCGTGTCTTGAAGATCTTGAAGATAAACTTCTATCGCAATGCACAATAAGGGAAGGATTTGTTGTGCCCATCTCTGGGTCCAAAGGGATTCTCTTTCAGAAGTTGAGACGGATGGTGTCTGGGGATCATCGCCGTGCTGCTTGGCAGTTGAAAGAAGCACACCAACGGTTTTCCTCTCCAAGCTACCTATGCAACACTGGGGGCCCTGACAGGAGAAGCAGCGAACAACAATGTGCTCAGGCATTGGTGAACGGCGGAATAGGGCTTCGAACGGTTCACCGAACGGTGACAAACTGCTGATGTTCATGCCGATCGTTCGTCGAGTCGGAGATGCGGATCGAGTCGCTGCAACCGGCGAAATGGAGTGTGATGATGAGCCGATCGGCTGGACCACTTGTGCACGATTCACCATCTGTAGATGATCATCTTGAGCCAAAAAACAGCTCCCAGTCTTCATGGGCTGTCAACCAGGTAAGACACATTGAACGATGTAAATATACTAAAATGTTGGCTTCGCGGAACAGGTGATCAAATGTAAGATCCAAGATGATCCAAGAGATCACAAGTCAAACCCCCTTCTTCAGGCTGTTCCTCTCTTTTCCATACCAAATTATTTGAATGTGGCACAATCATCAACCGCGTCGCCACAAGACCATCGCAAAAAGGCTCCGCCTGCAGACAGATTCACTCCAAGCATGCTGAGCAGCATCTTCCTGCGAACACGCAAGTTGTCACATCTGATCACGGCGAACACTCAATGCACCAAGATGCACCACGGGTTTGGGAAAAGAGAGCTGGAGAGTTTATCTCCCTGGGCAAAAAGCTAAAGTTGTGACAGCGCCTACCTTAAGCGAAAGACAATCAGAACTTTTTACATTGAGACTGGATGCCGCTGACTTACTCTCATGATCCCTTTAAGAGTCCCACGTCAAAGGAGCCTGCTTCGGACACATGCCCACGTTGCTCGCCAGATCCGTGTGAGAGACAAGGGAGATGACAGGGAAAGATTCAGGCAACGCGGTGTTCGAAACATTCTCAACCGGGGACCTCGGCCATTTTCTTTGTGGATGTGGGCCCTAGATCCAAATGGCCCCAAATGCCTTTCAGACTCGGCGTGTTTGATCCTGTCAGCCGCATCCCCAATCATCCCCCCCCCAAGCATCCTCTTGCCGGGCTTGGCCATCTCCGCGCGGCACTCATTCACCTCAAAAGGCCCACATGGTGAAAATGAATGTTTGAAGCCACGGCAGTTGGGTGTGGAAAAAGATGTGGAAAAATAATGCTTCTTAGTTACGTTCGTAGCGATGCCAGGAGCTACGAGTAGAGTAGTCGCGTGTCCCGATCGCGCTCCGTTCGTAGCCCTGTGTTACTAGTAGCTTCTTGTTCCTAGTAGTAAGGCCAGGAGCCCCTAGTAGCGTCCTTGGTCCTAGTAGCGATGCCCTTTGCTCCTAGTAGCTTCTTGTTACTATTTGTAGTAGCTTCTTCTTACTAGTGTGTGTGTGTGTGTATGCGTGTCAAGTCAACCGCAAAAGGTGAATCATTGGCTGAATCATCCAGGTCGACACGTCCGGTGCACTAAGAGAAACGCCCGGCATCAAGTCATAAGAATTCTGTATATCGTTAGAATAACTTGTTTAAAGCCAAAAGAGGAGTCAAGGACTATGTTGGTCTTTACTCTCCACTTGTCTCGCAAGCAGCTGCGGAGTGGATGTGATTCCCGCGAAGCAACGGATTTTGGCATCCACAACTCGTTTCAATACTCTGCCAAGCCATCTGGCTGAAGAGGACCATGTTTCAGGAAGCTGAATAGGGAGTCCCTCAGCAAAGCAAGTGATATTGAAAGAGAAGCTTTAAGGAGCATGTTCACAAAGCTGACTAGATCTAACATCCCAACCAAAACTGAAAGCACGATGCTAGGGAAACCTGGAACACGCCCAAAAAAAGAACTAAGCCCATAGTGACACCGTTGACCCTCCGCTTCCCATGCGTCCCACAGGTTGGTCGTGCTCCATCATCCATCCCTCCAATGTCTTCTTCACTGTCGCTTTCAGCGCGGCTTCTCCAAGGTACCACGGTGTCCAAGGTCATTCCATTGGCTTCGGCCATGGCCGGCTTTTCGCCCTCCTGGCTCGTCCGCCGAGGCGAGATCCGGGCGAGGAAGGGGAAGACATCAAGAACACTCAGTCAGAGACTCCAGCACCCTGCCCTCTGTCCTAAGATGGCTGGAATTGACGATTCTTCTTCCACGGCCGGGCCCAGCCGAATGACGAAAGCAGTCTCAGTTTCTTCTTCCCTCTAGAGGTGTCCCATGTGAGGTGATCAGAATCTGGATCTGATCTTTCTCGATGAACCCACACTGGTCCCACCTCCAATCGTCGGTTGCGGCCCTTGCTCGGCCGCTCGGGATAGAGGAAGACCTGGTCGTCGCGGGCGCACCGTCTTGGCAGCCACTGGCCATGTGGTGTCACGTTCAGGTGTCGCTTCCAGGTGCCATGGACTTAGAAGAGTGCCTAAGTGTTCCGAGCTAAAGCAGCTAAAGAAAGCCCTCCCACCCAAAAAAAATTAAAACTCCTCCCCCCACTATAACATACTATAACCAGGAAAACTAGGACAAAAAAGAACGGCAAAACATGGCAAAACACCAGGGCCGCACCGTGCGTCTCGCCACTCCCCCGCCTCAACTCATCTGTTTCAGAACCGTTCGTCTCGCTCGTCTCGCCTCGACGTATCGGTCCTCCATGCCGCGGAGATGCAACTCATCCCGCGCCAAGCGAGCGGACTGGCACCGGCGCGCGCGGTCGTCGTCCGCGGCCGCGGCGGGCCGGACCCGCGTTCACCGGTCGTTTCCGGTCACGGTCATGGGGGGTGGGGAAGACCGAAGACCCAGGAGGACGGGTCGAAGATGGCCTATATGTGTATGCCGCCTGTATGCCTGATCTTGAGCTTGGGGAAAGGATGGCGTACTGGGTGTTGTTTCCAGAACAGGGGGGGTGGGAGGAGCTCAAAAAATGGATTCCATATGAACCCCAACAGGCCTGGTCGTTCATGTTTCACTGGACACAAATCGTTCAGCAGCTTACGGAAGGCGAGCGACTGGCAAATGTCAAAATCTTCCACTGCTGTTTCAGCTTCAACGTTCTTCAAATTGACGGTCAACGAGCACTTTGGAACTGAGACGATGTCAGGAAGATGTCAGGAAGGAGTGTCGCCCATCACTCGCAAGTTCTTCTCGAACCTCTTGGGACTCGAAGAGCACGCGGGCAAAGCCAGAGGGTCGCCCATCACGGTTCAACTGAGACCGCCGAGGTCCCGCGACAGGCACGAAAGACGCCGGTGGACCATCGACGTCGACCCACCACTTCCTGTTGGAGTAGCCTAGATTGAGAACAAGGGCAGGCCACCAGCTAATAATATAGATCTACAGTATATAATCAGATCTACAGTAGGCCTAGAACAGATCTACAGTAGGCCTAGATGATTGAATATACAGATCTACAGTATATAATCGGATCTAGCGATACAGACCTGGACCATCGTGTCTGGGTGTCCTGTCTGGAGATCCCATGGCGTAGGGTAGTCCGTTGGGGATCCATTGGATGATCCGGAATATACTGCGTTTGTTTGTCTCATATCCCCCTTGGGTCCATGACAAAAAGGCATGTCCTGAAAGTACGTAATTCTCGCTCCTTGGGATGAGACGACATCGTTGAACAAACATGACAGCAAGATGTTCGTACCATGCTCCATATCTCCATATCAGTTTCTTCTGAGAAAGTTGGAGAAATGGAAAAGTGCCGTGTGCAGCGTTGGGGAAGGTTGAAGTATCTGACCGACAAGGAAACTGCCGGCCTCCTCAAACTGGTTTTTGAAAAGGCTCCGGACTCATCTCCTTTCCCTGTACTCCCTTTCAGGATGTGAGTTGCATGTTTGAGATACAAAGGAGATTACTGCAACAGTGCGGGTCAGTGTGGGTCGGTGCTCCATGTTTCTCTGATCACCCCAACGGCGTGGATGTGGATCGTCAAGCGAGTGTACCCAAAGAAGAGGTGCTTTACACAGTCCTTCCCCTTAGTACATGGTCTTCTGGCCAAGACAGGTCGATACCCGAATCGCACAACTGAACTCCCTGATTCTCTGAGGACTCTGCGATCAAGTGGATGGGGTTCTCTTCCTCTAGTCTGGTAGCAGAAAAGCAGCGAAAGACTTGAGGCTTCACGAAGGGAGACTTTAAATGTTGGCCTGGTCAACTAGAAGATTCAGCCTTAGCATTCCCCTTCCAACTCAACCACATCCCCGTGTTCAGTCAAGACGAAACTGTCGAAGGTAGAAATCTGTGGCTGTCGCTTATGTGGTCATATGTGGTCATGGTTTAAGCTCACTAGGTAAAGAGGCAAGCCTTCAAAATCAGTGCACAAATGGAATGAAACGAATTTCGAGTGTACATTGCTGTTGCCCTGGGGAGACATCTCGTAGGCTTCGTTTGTTCAGTTTCAGGGGGGGGACATCGTAGGTTTGGTATGGCTTTGTGTCCTGGAAACCGTGTTGGTCGAAGAAAGGCCTGTGTTTGGCTGGCTTGTTGATGGCTTCGCGATGTGGACCAGGTACAAATGGACAAGCAAGACCTAACACCTTCCCTTGGAAGGTAGGGCATGCCTGATTCATGGGATCTGCACGGATTTGACATCAGATCCACCTTGCTTGAGTCGACCCCAGTTGCAACCAGAATCTCTTGCGAGTCCAACCACCAAGTTGAATCAGTTGCTTAGCTGCAGAATCACTTAAAGCATGTGTGCCAACCACCCAAGTGCGCCGGACACGTCTTCTTCTTAGGCTTCCGGGCATGAAGATGTTCAACATGAGTGTCCAAGAAGTTCCGAATGTCCTGCCGATCTCGGAAGCGTTTCTGTCTTTGGAGGGGGTGATCTGGCCCAACTGCTGCCAAAGTGGGAGAAGCTGTCGAAAATGATTGAGACCAAACACTCCAGGAATTAAAAAAATGAACAGCTACCAGCTACCAGCATCGCTCTTCAACATGTCAAGCAATTCTGGGCCTTCCAAGGCTGTGTTCCCCTTCCTTCACATCCTTCACCTGTGGGAAAGAAACATACAAAAAATAAATGGAAACACTTCACCCCTTCGAAGAACGCTCACCCTTCGCGTCCTCCACCGTTGCCTTGTACGGCAAACCTCTCAATTGTACGGCCAAATGCCCTTGACCATCCTGGACGTGGAGCCGAAGGGAGCGGTGAAGCATGGAGCGGATGGAGCCGAATGGAAGCGAGAAACCACCGTCCCCGCGAACTTGGTTCCGTGGCCTGGCCAAGCGGCCTGGCCTTGGTTCCGTCCGATCAGATGGAAGAAACATGACGAAAGCCTCATCACCTGTAGATCTTCCTCCACCCCAAGGCCGCTGTTCGTGAGTTCACCCCACTGTGGAGTCATCGAATGACGTGTGCCCCAGAGTCGCGGTCTGCCCAATGAAATGGATCAGCTGGCAGCAATGTGTCTCATCGAAGAACCGGTTGACCCCGGTGTTTCGAGCCTTCGAGCCACACCCGTTCTATTCGACATAAGACCCGAGGAAAAACCATCTAAACGTATCTCTAAACTCTCTGCTTGGGTGGGTTCGTGGGTTGACTTGGACATGGAATCCACACTCCACACCTCTTCCCCACGTTGCTGCACAGAACGGGCAAGGAGACCGGTCGGTGGGGCATATTCCCATGCAAGTACTCATCTTCCACCATCTTCCCACATTCCCACTTCGATTGTGGTGACGAACTCGGACGAGATCTTCTTGTTTGGAGGAGTGCATCACAATTCTTGAACATGAAATAACCACCCTAAACTAGACCTGTGAAACTCGCAGGAAAACAAACACGTGAGCAGCAGTTCCAAAACATTTGAAGGTGATGTTTCCTTCCAACACTTCTTCCGACAGCCAGGTGAGGCAGCCAGGTGAGGCGCAGCGACATACCGACACACCGACACACCGTTTCCGACCGCCTGCCTCGTCGAAAAGTAACGCATTCTTTGCATCCTCGAAGAGAGGCAAAGAGTCAGACTTCACCAGAAGATGATATGGGATGATATGGGATGATCAGGTATCAGCACCGAGGAAATTGCGAGGAAACAGGGTCATTGGGGAACATGAATCATTACATAAATAATAATATTACATATACATCACAATACACAATGAATCCATCATCGTTCGTTTGATGCAGCCTGCCGTTCGCATTCAACTTGAGGTATCTACATGATCAATAAACCGTCGTGAACCATGACAAGACTGCCAAATTGGCAAGATCCTCTCTTGACGACGTGTCTTCCTCGATGCGAACGAAGCGAACGACATGAAGCGAACGAAGCGAACGACACGACGTTCTCCTGCTGCTGCTTCTCCTGGCGTCTCGAAATTGGTTGTGGATGTTCAGGAGTTGCCTCAGAACATCCAGCTGAGTGAGCCTCTAAGGACTCTAGAGTCGCCCCAGGGGTAGCACGGGCTCGGTTTGCTGGACATGTGCGGCAGAATCTGCGTTGTGAGGGGTGTTCATCCATCACCCAACCCTCTCATTGTTGTAACATCTTGTAACTCCACAAAGAATGGAGACCTGCTATGAGCACTAGGAGATACTAGGGCCTGTCACTAGGGGAGCGTCGCTGGAGAGGAGCACAGATCGACCAGCGAAACCATAGATTCAGATGTGCCAGTGCCGCTGTGCAAGAAGAAGCTAGAACACATCCACTATCTCAAGCTGCACCCTCAGGATACTCTCATTCAGAAACCCTTTAGGATCATGCCAATTTGTTGCTCCAGATGAGTTTCAGCACGGCCCCCGATCTTCCTCCAAAGCACCAGTCATCTGACAAGCCTTATAGGTTTGATCATGTTTGATCCAATGTCCCAGAAACTCTCGCAGCACCTTCCCCCTCCCATCGATGGCCACTCACGGACTTCGACACGTTCCGGGTGTCGGGTTGACACATTCAGCCACTTCACTCCGTCGACCAGCCCACTTCGACCAACGCGGACTCCGACCACTTAGTTCGTCCACTCCCCCCATTGGCCATTGATTGACTCCCCAGGTCGTGTTTTCCCCAACTGATCGGTGTGCCAGTCGGTCCGAGCCACAGCTGGATCCGGCTCTTGCTGTGGCTCAGAACTGTTCGGCGAATCCACCTGGCGTGTTCTTCCCCCAACGGAGACGGTCGATTCTGGGGGACGCAGACGGTCATAGGTCGGTGAATCGATTCACTTCGAGTGGTTCACTTCAACGACATATACAATAGAATGTCATATCATATAATTCAATATATTCTATTTATATAGTAGAATATTTTAAAAAAATAATATATACCTGGATCTTCCTTTGGGCGGAAAAAAGTGCCGGACCTCAATCCGGCAAAATTTTCCGCCGGATTCCGAAAAAAACGCCGGAGACCTGAAAAAACATCCGGATCCAAGATTCTGAAAAACAGAGATGATAAAAGGTTGGATCATACACAAGGAAACTGCCTTTGCGCCACGAGTAGTTTTTCTGGAGCACACTCGAACCTTCCCGTTCCCATTGCCCTCGCCCATCTTCCGAATGGCCTAAGAGCAAACCCATCACACAATATAAGCAACTTGTGCACAAGCAAAGACTTCCAAGAAAAAACAAGGAGTATGTGGCAAGGAACGCAAGGAACCCCTCTTTCTCTGCAACCGTGTCTCTAAAGTTTTTTTTACAAAGTGGGCTGCTCTCCATGATTCTTATGCTTCTTAATGTTTCATTGAAGCTTGCCTCAGGACGGCCCCCCAATAAAGTAGTAGCAGAACTCATGGTTCCTGTCAAACTCTTCTGTGAAAAACTGTTCACAATCAAAGCCTGCAGAAGACTCAGTCCAAAAAAATACGCCGGAGTTACGGGAAATTACGCCGGAGTTACGGGAAATTACGCCGGAGTTACGGGAAATTACGCCGGAGTTACGACGTGCCATTTTTTGACAGCTCTCTGCAAAACATTGAGATTCTGAACAACACATGCTCCACAGCCCAAAACTTGTCCGGCAGGCTCTGCAAACCTGCGCAGCTAGAACTATATCCCAGCGCCCCGACATCCTGAAACAATGGGAGTACATGTTTGCCTATGCTCTTTCAGCTTAGGTGCACCCACTTGGGTCTTTCAACAGGTGCATCGCACTGTACCGGTTTCATCCGATTTCATTTAGAAGATCACCTAAACGGATTTGATTGATCCAGTGTGAACCATGCTGAAACCGGAGGAATGAGAAAACAGCGGAACAGGCAAATGAGCACACTTTGCAAACAAAATCATTGCATCAGTAGCGGGTTTACCTTCAAAGAAATCAGACCACAAAGAATGCAAAGCCTTGAGAATCCACATAAAGTGACTTGGAAAAAGCGCCGGACCAAATCCAGAAAAACGCCGGAGTTGGAAGTCCGGCGCCGGACCCTGTAAAAGTGCCGGACTGAAGATCTAGGATATATATATATATACATATACTTACCATACAATGTTAGTCATACAGTATTACGATGTCGCCGACTCGATTCCGTCCACACCCCGTTGGCTATTATAAGACTTGGGTAATGGTATATCCTATATCAGGCAACAGGGGATTATGATGTTGGTGACGGTGATGATGACGACCGACTGCGACAGGTAATGGGACAGCAACCCTATATAGTAACCCATGTAAAAAGGAATCATTGTAACCCCAGAACTTCCATCTAGCGCTACCACCTCGAGCCATTCGTTCAAGCAAGTCGTTCTAGAGTCGTTCGACCGGACCGAACCTGCAGTGGTCGATCGCTCGAGGAACCTGGCGTGCGTGCATTTGTCGGGCCAGCGGGTCTGCCCTCACCCCATGGTCCTGCGCTTAAAGGCAAGACGTGCGAACCAGCTGTTTGTCTTGGATCAAAGAAGTGGGAGAATGGTCCCGAAGATCGAGCCTTCAACCGCTACAAGCGGATTTCTATCTTCTCCGATAGAAGAAGGCAGATCTGACTAAGGATTGGCTCGGGCATCCACAAGCTAGTTAGGTTGACCATACCGAGATAAAGGCGCAACGGAGACATGGTCGGCTGTGGTCGGCTTTCGTGATCAAAGCTGTGCCAAATCCAACACCAAAGAAGGAAGGTTTGGGTGGTCTTTCTGAAGGCATCGCGTCAAGATACCCGTGCTGCTTGCAGCAAGGAGCAAGCAGCTCTGCATGAAAAAACCCTTCCTTCAACACCAGGTGACTATGAGATAATGAACCAATAAGACCCTGCAAAAGGGTGGAGTATCACTCGTGTCTGCGTCTGGGGTGTGAAAAACGCCGGGGTCCGGGCTGATGTTGAGCACCACAGTCTCCTTGTTGATCTCTCCAACCACTTCGAAGAGACTGCGCAGGCCGCAGGGGTCACAGGGGCCGCAGGAAAGGAAAACATTCAAACAGTTTGTTCTTAGACCCCGGCGCTAACATGTTGAATTACATCACCATGGGCACACACCAAAAGGACACGGCTTGCCCCGCTTCACGTGACATCGAGGTGCTTCAGGCTGAGACTAGAGCCACGGGCATAATGGTGGAGTCATGAGCGCTCCAAGTCGTCTTTTGGAGTTTGACGAACTGATCAACTCCAACCTCCGCTCTTCAAACGTGATCCTTCACAAAGTAGCTTGTTCAGTGAGTATCTCATCCGTCGAAACCTTCCCAAAGACGCGCCTGTGGTATTGCTGGATCCACATTTTCAGGCCTCCATGATCTTGCGCCCGCTTCCTTCCAGCTTCCGATCCGCGAACCCGATGAGATGGGGATTCCGACAGGCGAAAAAAACTAAAGGCTCCACCAGTTTCACTCGTGTCTACGACGTCTACGAACTGATATATAAGACTGTCTGGCCTAAACTCTTTGACCTTCAACTGATCTTTGATGAGGTATACTCAGAACCTTGGGAGCTGGGACGAAGGACTGGTTTTCACCAAAAGGCGCAAGACTTCCCCCCGAAAAAGTGCGGACCAGCGCCCGGTGTAACTCCTTTCTCAGTTGAAATGTCTCCAGAGACATCATTGGCAACTCATCTTCATCGATGACCGAGTGAAACATGGCGTGGCGTGATGTCCCGATTTACTCCAACTCCCAGTACTCCCCATCCGACGGATGATGAACACGGGGGCACCTCAAGGAGTTAGGCAACAGCGCTTTCAGATCAGCTAAAGGAAGGCTCTGCCTGAGCAAAACGGTCAGAACCGCACCGAAGCGGTGGTCTTTTCGAAGAGTCAGTCCACTCCAAGTTCTGGCCCTGTGTGCCGCTGAAAAAGAGGTCTTTGAGACCTAGTGGTCAAGGTCCATGAGAGGGTGGAACGGGGTATCTCACTGTAAGTGTACAGTCTCTGCTGGACAACCTGCCAAACTCGAGGAGGCAGAATGTATTAGGACGTCCGAGGGAATGCTGTTGCTGAATCTGCAGCAACAACTACTCCGGATCTTCAATCGATTCTCAGGGACGTGGAGCGAAAGAAGAGATTGGGCGAGGACCCTGGACCCTGGGCCCATCTGATCCAATCTATGGATCGTCTTCATATAACTTCATCTACCGGATTATGCGGACTCCGATGAAGCTTGAAGACAGCCGTTTTGCGCTTGGCCAAGCGTGTCCGAGCGGAGAAAATGGCGCAAATGGGCACTTTGGGGCTTCTGGCTCTGGCGGCCAAATGGGTTTGAATTTTAATAGGGAAACCCTCCCCCATTGGGTTGTGGTAGATGTCTTCTTCCAGAGGGTCGTTATTTGGGGGGGGTCGCTCTTGCCATAACCCAAGACACGCCTGTGTCTGACCTGGGAGGCCCAACTTGGGCCGCCGATGAAGCAATTGAATCAACTGCGACAACAAGACCTGACCGCGCGACCGGTGTTCAGTTCGGTGAGGTACTGCAAAACCAGTTGAATGAGGTGTGGCAATGAAGAAAGACAGAAGCACACTCACAACCAGAAGCAGGGAAATCATGGGTTTTTGTTTTAATATGTATATGTTTTTTTGTGCTGGCTCCAGATCAGGTGTGTGGGTTTCCTCCAAAGAGAGTCTGCAAAGGATTCAAGGCTACTTTGCCATTTACCCCCTGGTTGTGATCAATGGACGACTAGCTGAGTTGTCCATGTCACTGGATGAGGGGAGGTTCTTTAGGCCCAGCAACCAAGAGACGCTCTGCCTGGTTTCCCCGAGACGCGGCTGGACCAGATGGCGGCTCGGGAAAAGCGAGGACTTCTTCAGTCCACTCACAGATGGGTGTGTATTAGAATAGGGAGATCCTGGGAGGACCCCTCAGTTCAGACCGATGCTTTTATGTTATGACACGAAATCCATTTTTGCGTTGGGAGGCCTCCCTACTAATAACAAGAAGCTACGAACGGGGCTCCTGGCATCGCTACTAGTAACAAGGACGCTACTAGGGGCTCCTGGCCTTACTACTAGGAGCAAGGATGCTACTAGGAGCTACTTGGGAGACCCCATCTCCTCCGATCTCGCCCAGTGGCCCCATCGCTCACCGGCTCGGACTCCTCCTCAGGCGAGAGGCCGTCAGGCGAGAGGCAGTGCCGCGTGCGAAAAACACCTCTATGCTCCGTTCGTAGCTTCTTGTTACTAGTAGCGATGCCAGGAGCCCCGTTCGTAGCGTCCTTGCTCCTAGCAGTAAGGCCAGGAGCCCCTAGTAGCTTTCTAGGGAAAGGGGGGTGATTCTTTCACGAAAAACACCGGGGGGCCCTGATGTCTATTCTTTCCCAGATGTTGAATGTCACTTTCCAGCGCACAACCAGCACTCTTAAGTAGAGGACATTCTATAGACGAAAACGATCTTTCGCCCTGCAAACTCCAACATCACTTTCGGAAAGCGACCAATTATGGACTCTTCAGTCCATATTTTATTATTGAAGCTCATCTAAGCTGCGTCCTGGTAGTCCCAATCCATCCACGTTCCGGCTGGGCCGCCCCCACGCTTCGGCTCTCAACAGTACCCATGCGCTTTCGTCGGGTGGCGGCCTCGAGTCGGTCGAGTCGCAGCCAACGGTCGAGTCGGCACATCGAGGCCGAAGACATCGGGATCCACCTGCAGTTGCCTTGAATCCTTAGAACCAGCCGTGTAGGTCGTTTTCCCATGTTTTCCCAGTCCAGGTCTCATCCATTCATTAAGGTGTCTTTTTCTTCCGGAACCTTGGGTGTCGGAATGGTGTGTCTCAACACTCTGAGAAGAGTGGAAGTCTTTCAATCCACTTGATCCGAACAAAAACTACGTCACACCTGCAATTCGCAGAAAATCCAGCTGAAATAGCAATGGAGGTACAAAGGAATACAGAGTATACAATGGTAGTAGTGAAGGTCCAAGTCTACACAACAATATCTTTTGTGACCATGTTCTTTGCTTCTGTGCTTGTGGTTGCATCTGAAGCACAAGGAAAGCTATATCAATCATTGTTCTTGGAAAACAGCTTTGAAAGAAAGGACACAAGAGCTAAAACTCTAAAAAGATTCACAACAACTACATACAAAGAAAGAACAGATGCATTGATCTATAGATATATGACAGCATGATAGTTGCTGGTCACTGGTGAAGACACAAAGTCACAGGTCTTGCAAAACGCCACCGCCATATATCATATTTATCAGCATCCAATCTAAAAGGATTATATTATATAAGGGAAAACTGGAGGAGCGGATTAGGCTGGACCTCGCAAATGCCTCTAATTAACTTGCCTAACGGCTTAAATCATTATCTGTTCCATCTGTTCGCTAGGTACCACTGCTATATGCCATGAATTGCCATTGTATGCCAAGGGGGGGTTCTCCTTTTCCTTTCCGACCGTTTTCAGACCAAACCCCATCCCCAGTGACTCAGCAAAACTCCCTTCTGCTCCCCACTCACTCCGCCACTCCGCCCGAACTCGTCCCGCACAAAGACCGCTTCGCACCTGGGACCCTTCCAGCCATGCAGTGTCTCAACCCGACCCGACGAGCTGAGAAAGCTGGAGCCAGGAGAGCGGAGCGGGGGTGGAGGAACGCAGGCTTTACATGGCTTTGGGCCCATGGCTTTACATGGCTTCATCCGAATCGTGTATTTTCTCTGAAAAGGATGGGGCTCCTGTCTTAGAAGAACGCAGCGCAGCACACATACTCAGCTCCTATAGTCGTCTTAGAATCCAGTCCGAAAAGTCTCAAACGAGGTGTCGTTGAAGCCAATCGGTGCATGCGTGACAGATCAATGAGGTAGCCCCAACACAACCACCCATAGACTCCAACAGAGGTTCTTCAGCACATGCTCTGGTGGGAGTGATCCACAGACTGGAGCTTCATTTGTATACATCATACATCTGTCGAGACAACGTTACACCTTGTCCTCGTGCAGATGAACATGGACTCTCAAAACCTTGTAGAGAGATGTAGAGAAAAATGGTCGAAACCACGGGGTAATTGTCAGGGTCCATGTTAGTCTGCAGGGGGATACTATGTTGCATCATGTTACTACCTTTCGATTCTGCTCTGCTCATGTTTTGCCCTCGACGATTCGCAAGAGCCGCTGCGGGAGCTGCATCGCTGCGTGCACATCGCTTTGCGCCTCGCAGGATATAGGAGGACCAGAGTCTCGATCAAACAGGACAAGAAGCGAACATGTCCGAGAAAGCCTCTACTGGTCTTCCTCAGCTCTTTGCTGTATTTCAAGATTTTTGTGTTTCTGGGGGTTCCCCTTTTGAACGATGCTTGCTTTCTCCTCTCATTGAACTGGATCCTTTCGAAGCTAACGCTGTCATTTTCACCTGGCGCCGCCCGCGACCGAACCCCACGCGCCAGCGACCCGTCGCGAGCTCCGTCATCGGCGGAGCGAGCTGATGTCCTGGGCGGAGGAAGTTAGCTATATATAGTAGCAGCTTCGTGCTAGTAGCAATGCACTTGTTACTAATATACATATATATATATTATGTGATGCACCTGCTACTAGTAGCGGAGGAGGCTCGGAGGCAGGTTTTGGGTGTTCGGTGGATTGGATCCGACGAAGCCTGCTGAGATACAGCCATGACTAGTGACTCTGCGATGAGTGAGGGAACAAAAATAGATCCATGATGATCCATGGTGTGCAAAATAATCAAGGATAACATCAACTACACCCCCTGAAATTTAGATACAATCGGGGGAAGGAACGCCCGAATGAAAGGACCTACACTTCACCCAAACTGGGTCATCAAACCCCTCTAGCCTTGCTTCCACTGGTGCGGAAAAGCAACTACGCCAGGAATCGTGTGTGAACATAGACGATCATCCTACCAAAAATGCGGGGATGGCTCAAAGCATTCATTTTGATCCGGTCATATCCTGTCACCCTCACATCTGGGTGCAGGAAGGTCTCCTGTACCAAAGGCTCTTCTGGTTCCTTGCCGCCCAAGAGCGGTTGACGACTAGAGCAGTGTGGCCAAAGGTGTGCTTCGCCATACAAGCTCAGTTGCCGGATAGAATGATACTTAACACTATTGAGGACTGGGCTTCCAGACTTCCTCCCGGGTCCTTTGTTAGCCGAAAAGTGCTTCTCATGGGTGACAGGCAGTGACGTTTAGGTCACGAGTTTAGGTCGTTGAGGTCAATTCACTTGATTCCGTGCTGATCTGTCAAAGATGTCGTTCCCTGAGGAAAAACAAGATGGAACCCACGAACCCGAATGCAAACACGTTCGAAAAACTACATATGTCCAAATGACACTCTTGTAGGACACTCTTGTGGGACACTCTTCTGGGACTAGGACACTCTTGTGGGTCACTCTTGTAGGAAACTCTTGTGGGACACTCTTCTGGGACACTCTTGTAGGACACTCTTGTAGGACACTCTTGTGGGTCACTCTTGTAGGAAACTCTTGTGGGACACTCTTGTAGGACACTCTTGTGAGACACTCTTGAGCAACACTGTTGCGGGACACTCTTGTGGGACACTCTTGTGGGACACTCTTATAGGACACTCTTGTGGGTCACTCTTGTGGGAAACTCTTGTAGGACACTCTTGTAGGACACTCTTGTGGGACACTCTTATAGGACACTCTTGTGGGACACTCTTGTGGGACACTCTGGTAGGGCACTCTTGTGGGACACTCTTGTAGGACACTCTTGCGGGACTCTCTTC